CTACTTTTATGTCACTTGGTCTATAGTGAAGAGTTATATCATTGGCAACCATACCACATCTTCTTATTTTCATATGAACATTTGAATCGATTTTCGATGTAAAACTTAAAATTATAAAGGTAAATGAATTACCAGCACTGCGTAACGTTTCTCAATAGACTATCCACTTCACTTGGACATTCGTTAGATAATTTGTATCAAGCCCAACAAATAATTTTGAAAATGCACTTCTGATAACTAGTAATGGACTTCTGATAATATGAATACCATGAATCAATATTTGAACTGCTAAATTTGTTATAGATATCTACATTTTTTTCAACATGCATGTATATGTACAACACAATCTTACTCTAGCTTACAGATGAGAAAACATCTTTTTGAAAAAGTCCATCAATTGTTTTGAAATTCTTTTAAAAATAAAACATGATCAAACAATTTGGACCACTTCTTCATCTTTAAACCTTGCGTTTTGAGGCAAAGCATAACCACTTCAAGGAATTGGTTTATAGGTCAAAGAATAGGAAAAATATGTGTAAGGCATTAGCTGAGAGACATCAATACTATATGAGTTCATACAATACGGTTGGAAAATTTCTTTCATCAGGTGATTGTGACTCCACAGGTGGGTCTACTGTTCCTTAAGCATTGTTGGAGAATGAATTTCAACGTCTTTTGGCAGGTGTTGTACAAGGAAATAAAATATTTCTATGTAACTCACTTAAAAGTCTTGGAATAACTTGTTGGAAGAATACGTGTAAAGTGATTAGGTTGCAAGGGTATTGGCTTCCGAAGCTACACAAAACACCTTACAAATTTAGATTCATTTCGTCTTCAAGCCATTGTTCCACTACTAAATTGTCTATACTTCTTACCAGTACACTTGGTACAATCAAAAACCTGATAATAAATTGTTCAAATAAGGCCTTCGAAAATAGTGGAATTAATTACTTTTGGAGTGTCAAGAACTCGTTGGAAGTACTTGATAAATTGCATGCATATATTGGTGATTTTGAAACTGTTCAAAGTTTTGATTTTTCTACCCTATATACCACATTGCCTCACATTCTCATTAAGAAAAAATTCACACACCTAATTAAATGGGCATTTAAAAGTCAGAATGTGAATATATATGTTCAAACTCTTTTAGGTCATTTTTTAGTAGCAATAAACAAAAAACTATGTCAATTGGACATGCTTTGATACTATATATGCCCTTGAATTTTTACTAGATAACATTTTTGTTCGCTTTGGAGATTCCGTATATCGTCAGGTTATCGGAATTCCAATGGGGACTAACTGTGCACCACTTATTGCGGACCTTTTTTTGTATTGCTATGAGTTACAATTTATGACAAAAATCAGCAAAGACCCATCGAAACAACATCTGATACACAAATTTAATAATACTTTTAGATATTTGGATGATATTTTGGCTCTCAATAATGACGACTTCAGTATGTATACTAAAGAAATTTATCCTGTTGAACTTACTTTAAATAAAGCTAATACTAACAATGACCACTGCCCTTTCCTCGATCTTGATATCTATATCATTAACGGAAAGCTTAATACTAAAATATATGATAAAAGAGATGATTTTTCATTTCCTATCGTTAATTATCCATTTTTAGATGGTGACGTTCCCTTGTCACCATCTTACGGTGTTTATATATCTCAAATTGTACGATTCGCTCGTGTATGTAACAATGTTTTAGATTTTAACGAGAGAAATTTATGTATTACTGAAAAATTATTACACCAGGGTTTTCGATATCACAAACTAGTCAAAACATTTACTAAATTTTATCATCGGTATAAGGACATCATTCGTAAATATAGCTCAACATGCAGACTTCTTATACGTTCAGGTATTTCACATCCAATTTTTTATGGAAATATTCTTTATAAAGCACAAAAATGTCAGTATTCACCTCTGAAGCTAACAAAACCTTTACATAGACTTATTAAGAAGGGATATAGTTACGATACTGTTGTCAGGTCATTAAAGATTGCATATTTTGGCGTTAATATTGATTCACTTATAGGGTCTTTGCATCGGCACTAAACACATTTATTTAAAAACCAGTTGTTAGCATGACACGGGATATGTTCTTCTCATATATGTTATGATGGTATGATACTAAACCCCTAACGGGAAGGATTGTGCCTGATATTTATATGATGAAGACATAATCTTTCAATCAGTTTAATTGAAGTCTGGAGCTGGCATGTCAGTTAACTGCTAGTAGTCTGTTGTTATTTATGTATTATTGTCATTTTGTTTATTTTCTTTGGTTACATCTTCTGACATCAGACTCGGACTTCTCTTGAACTGAATTTTAATGTGCGTATTGTTATGCGTTTACTTTTCTACATTGGTTAGAGGTATAGGGGGAGGGTTGAGATCTCATAAACATGTTTAACCCCGCCGCATTTTTGCGCCTGTCCCAAGTCAGGAGCCTCTAGCCTTTGTCAGTCTTGTATTATTTTTAATTTTAGTTTCTTGTGTACAATTTGGAGTTTAGTATGGCGTTCATTGTCACTGAGCTAGTATATATATGTGTTTAGGGGCCAGCTGAAGGACGCCTCCGGGTGCGGGAATTTCTCGCTGCATTGAAGACCTGTTGGTGACCTTCTGATGTTGTCTGTTCTGTGGTCGGGTTGTTGTCTCTTTGACACATTCCCCATTTCCATTCTCAATTTTATTTTTGTGTCAATTTAGCAAGATTTTGCACTGTGCAATAATCCAAGGACAAACTTTCCTGTTATGTCAAAAACTTAGAACAGTTGGATTTGAACGGCATTATCACGCATTTGCTGTTGAAAATACAGATCATTTTGAGGTGTACAAGGTTTAGGATGTGCCAGAAACTAATCCTTTAGGTACAGTCCGTGTAACGTAAAAGTTAACAATACGAACGATGCCCGAATCATGTACGGACGATGCCCGAACGATGTACGTACGCTTCCCGAACGGTGTACGAATGCAAACGAAACGCTGACCGAACGTTGTACGGACGCTGAACGAATGATGTACGAACGAAACCATATACCATAAACCATACCATAAACGATAACATAAGCGCCCTTTTATTGTACATCGTATGGTTTTGCGTACATCGTTTCATTAAGCGTATACCGTATCGTTTAGCGTATTAGCGTACATCGTTTCGTTTAGCGTATATCGTATCGTTTAGCGTACATCGTTTCTCGGCGTGCATAGTTTCGTTTAGCGTATATGTTTTTTTTAAATATAAAACATGAATGGTGTTCTGTTTAATTTTTTTATATAGGTGATAATAGGCGTAAAATTTAGATTGGATGCATGTTTCAGTTTTTAATTAATAATTTAATAAATTATAATTTGGGCTGACTCTATGTTGATCCAAAATTATTTACATAAAACGTTTGAAAAATAAACACTGAAATAAATTTAAACAAATTAAAAGATACGATTATGAATTTTGTTAGCCGTAGAAATACGTACTTGGTGAATGTGCGAGTAAACTGCAGTCTGCATGGTATTTAGTCAACATTTTTTGAAAATAGCCCAAGGTATTAACATTATTTTTTTTACGTAAATGAACAATTGATTTAAGATGGAATTCGGAATTAATCTAATGTTCTTACAAAAGTTTATTTGGGGTCTTAAGGTTGACCTTTTGTCCAAAAGGTTTGTTAATTTTTTTATGTATTCTCTTTTATCGCATGTATTTTAAAATCGACTGAATAGCAGTTGTATCCATATATCGTAGTTAAACCAATTTTTTTAGATTATAGATTTTTTTTATTCATCTATCAAATCAGTCGAAAAAAAAACAAATATTCGAGAAATTTCAAATAAAAACAATTACTCGTTATGTGCCTCATCAACCCTAAACATAAATCCCTACCGATGTACATACGATTGTGTATTGTTTTAACTATAAATGCACTTGACTTTAAACTATCATCAACAATTGTCCGGCAAAAAAAACTAGACCCTCTATTCTTTAATTTTCTCATACCATTTTCCTCTGTTCTTTATTTTTCCCGTTATACTCTATTCTAATTTTATATTTTTTTTTTCTTTATTTTCCTGTATCTATACCTCCTTTATTCGGAGCAACCCCACCCTAAATAAACATATGATACACACGGTCTATATGGCCCCCAAGGGTGACTGGGGAATAGAAGTATGGTCACCATTGGTCTTCCTCCGACCGGCAGTAAAACCCGTGCTAAAGTGGGGCGTCCGTTTGGCTGTGCGGGATGTACAAATTTGCAGCCACGTCCGGTCAGAATGGGGACGTTAAATCCGATGCCTCGTGTAAAGAGAGTGCCACGCTCTTTGCACGTTAAGAACCCTTGCAACAACTCTTTGAGGGGTCCGTAGGTGACCTGTTGCAAGGCTAAATTTCTGTCCCTATCCAATATACCCTCATTTCCCGTGGCAGTCTAAATTTCTCCGACCTTAATCCCTTGATCTATTACAGAACCTACCTATTGTATTTATTGTGAACTTGTTCTGGTCCTGAATATGCATGAAATATTTGCCACTGGACGTTAAGCAACCAACAATCAATCAATCAATCAATCACACGGTCTATAGGTCATCGCTTGTGCCGTGATACATGTTTGCATAACAAAGGGTGTCCTTGTTCATATTTATAACATTTTAAATGTCCTCCTAATAATACATATAATAGTTGCCACTGGACATTAAACAGCTAACTCTAAATTCATCCGTCATATTCTTAGTTTTGTTATAATGTGTAAATCACACAACATGATGAACAAATAATTATTGCAGATTTTCACTGCCGAAATAATGGGAAATAATTGTAAACAAAACCACTCAATCACATCCCTACGCCACAAAGTCTTTTCACATGTAAATAAATTATTTTCATAAATCTATTTCAAAATAATTTTAAACAATTTTAAATCAAACGGTCATTTTTCTTATTTGCCAAAAAAAACAACAACATCAAACAGTTATGTTCTTTTCTTATTTTAAACAGATCGATTGTTTTCAATGGTCGGTGCCTGACAGCATCTATAAAATCTATCACCATGTTTGCCAATAAGAAAGCTTCATAGAACAGGAAAACAACAATGTCTTATAGAAATACTTCCAGGCCATATTTTCCAATTTCTGTTGTAATGTGGTTTAATGCAAAAAAGGTAACTCCTGAATACTGATTTGTACCCATCAAGCATTTGGGGTTAATAACAAATCTATGGTAGTCTCTTTTTCTTTACTCGCAAAGTATTCGACTAAATCATGTTATTTATGAAAATTGCTCATTGCTGACGAATGTTAAATATTGATCCCTAGATTTTCAATTGTTTAGTTGTTAGGTTACTGTCTGATCTCGCAAACCTGACATTTTATGGTCATTATGTTTTGCATCCAATTGCACCAATTTATTAAAAAGATATTAACGCGACACCGTACGAGAGTCGTTACTTTACATAAACTACTAGTATTTTTTTTTCTATAACGAAATACGAAACCACTTCTCGCAATTCGCTTTGGGGTAATTGTGCTTCTCTTTTGACAAAATATGGCCTTGTCTCAAAAACAAAAAGTATAATATAATATAGAGTAATATATAAAACTGGACTAGAGTGAAGAGTTAGGAAGTAGGAATTCCTAATTTTAATTGAATGTTCTAAATCTTTGTGTATTTCTGATAAATGATTGTACAGACTCAAAAAAGTCTTTGTTTTGCTGAAATGAAAGGTCACCGTCACCAGCCAATAGAAGCAAAATGGATATAGTAGATCTTTCTAATTTTGAAAACAATATTTCTGTTGCTTCGTTGATAAAAGGGCACTTAAAAAATAATGAATACTATCCTCAACAGGATGGCCACAACTGCATGCGGGATTGGGTTTAATATTAATAAGGTTTAAATCTGCATTTGAAGAACTGCACCATATTTCTCAACTGTGTATCAATAAAATTAAGATTTCTATCACCACAACTGAACTAGGAAGTGCGTACTGTGAATAAATTATTATACTCAGTTTACTTTTGCTTACAACAATTTATCACATACATGCATAATACCACGTTAACAATTAGGCCCGAGAACACAGTTATTTCGTAGTGCATTTCTTTTAGACAATAAATTCAAATTAAAAAAATCGCACCTGCTCTATCTCAAGAAAGATTTTTACAGTGTAGTGTACTACTATGGGGACAAATAATATCAAAATTATAGTAACTTCTACCAGCTCCAGAGGAGGGGCGACAGCCTTAGGTGCTGTGTGCAAATTTTTGTAGGTCACGTGGTACGATTTTAGCGTCTCTCGACAATTTTGAATCTGGAAAAGATCGATCTGTTCATGTTTTTATATCAAATATACTCTCTTGCACTCGCAGAAAATATAGAAAGTTTTGAAATAAAAAGATTAATCAATGATAGAAGATCACTTTATATGAAATATTTTCTTTATGTTTTTTTATCTTTTAAGTAAATTCTATCAATAAAGAAATGCACTGTAATGGCGGGAAATTTTATTCGATCTCTGCGAAATCACGAGGCACAGATTTTTGAAAATTTTACAAATGTCAGCATGTGAAAATCATTCAAATTTATGCCAATTAAAGAACACTATTCAAACATTCTAAATCTTCTTAAGTCTCCTTAAGTCTCCAGCCGTTGCTTTGTAATAAGTCGCTAAAATATGATTTCCGGTAAGTAAAATATCAATAATATTTGTCAAATCCGCTAGTAATTATGTTATTTTAGGCATATAAACTCTTATATGTATTTTAATCATTTTGAAAACAAAATGAAAATTTTGTCTTATGAATAACCATCATGATAAATATAGTTTTTTTTCATAATTGAATCGTGCATTATTTGTGTATTGGATTGCTTAATTGCCTTCTCTCTAGTGTTATCTCTGTTTTGTTAACTGACAAATGACGAAATAATGCAATATTTAAAATTAAGTATTTTACAAAACTTTGTCCCGATTAAAAACTTAAAACCGATTGAATAAATTGAGAATTCAGTGATTATCGATGTCGAAATTAGCCCTTGGTAATAAACAGTTAGTTTGGGTATAAATATGTTTATTGTCAAGAAATAACTAACAAATTTGTTTATTATGTATGTACAAAGTATATGTATATTGCATGATCAGCCCTCCTGTATATTACTTGTTTTTTTTAATTGATTCAACAAATTTCGTTTGTCCAGGTGTCATTAACGGTGATGTCAACACCACGAGTAGTTTGATATAAATGACACAATACCACCGCGACCGATCGATAATAGAAGACAAATCTGCGTGCCGTGTGCAGAGTGTCGTTCCTCCTCTATACCAGCTCTAACTCAAAATATTGACAATTCTGTGATAAGGGGGTCTAAAATTCAGTTTGACAGCTTCAGACGTACTAATGTTTTACCTATTTTAACTGGACCAAATCACTCCTTAACATAAAGATTCAGCACCCAAATTGTTTTAACATGTAATTTCATCCCCCTTCTTGATATTTCGTGCATTAAATTTCAAGAAATAAATTGGGAAAGTATATCCAAAAAAAAATGCAAGTTATACACTGTTCACACTAGAGACTATATTCGTGGGGTGACGGTGTTTGACAGTCTGAAGGAGACAGCATCAAGGATTTAATAACTAAAAGGCAAAGCTTTTGTTGTACTCAATCTTACTTTAAGTTTTCTTTATTATATTTAATAGATATATATCCGAGATACGATAATGTAGTTTTCTTTTTTATATCAAACCTGATCATCTATGATATATATATGGAACTTTTTAACGACCTTGGCTGGCTATACAGCCCTTGCACGGTCGGTTCATCTATGATGATGATGGGAGTTTTTAACGACCTTGACTGGCTATACAGCCCTCGCACGGTCGGTGTGCAAATGATGTCATCTATAATAACAGATGGAAGTTTTTAACGACCTTGACTGGCTATACAGCCCTAATCTATAATGGGATATTATTCCACTTTTTATACATATTGATAGTTTAATCAATATCTGATTGGTTGAGACTATCCCACGTGTCGTTGAACAAATCTTCATATTCCATTCTGAGGATCATATTCCCCTCTGAAATGTCGGGATAACATCGTGTGACGTTACGCGCGGTTAATGTACATAACGTTTTGAACTTCTTATTCTTCTTAAAATAGCGATAGCAATAATCATTATCATGTTCAAATTTATTTCAGACGATAAAACAAAAAGACTTATAATTAAATTTTGATCCGTACTGTTTATCAATGGGTATGTCGTGTTTTGTTTAACTTATAAAAACAAGCGGATAAGAAAACAAAATGTATGCAAAATAATATTTAATGTATTGATAGTAAACAAACCATAGGCAGTGGAATAAAACATTCATTTCCCTTTGCTTCGGGAGATATGAAGATTTGCTCACCCTCGACAAATCAGAGTTCCCTCGGGCAGAGCCCTCGTGAAATATGAATATTCTTGGGTGAACAAATCTTCATATCTCCCTCAGACACGGGAAATAAATGTATAATGTCTAATGAGAGAATTTAACCAGAGACTGAATAACGTAGAAATAACAAATTAAAGGTCACTGTACGGCCTTCAACAATGAGCAAAATCCATACAGCATAGTAAGATATTAAAGAATCCGAAATGACAAATGTAAAATGCACTCAACACTGTTCAAACATCACCGCACGTCAAACTTTGAACAACAGAAAAACTTGATTGGACATTGGTGACAATTTGTCACGCCCTCATGAATTGGCGTACATGTACGTCCTATCAAATACCTTCAGAAAGCTTCCACTGAAATTATTTTACACACAAGTAACTGTGTATTTTACTGATTTTCTTAATAAAAAAAAACAAAATGTATTTTGCGTTAAATGTGCAATGAAGCCACGGATTCGTAATCTTCAAAAAATAGTTCAGAAACGGTTGATAAAATGTGGAATGTCTGAATAGAAATATAACAATTATGTTCAGTGCGCGTTTATAAAACGGACTCTATTTGGACATTTTAAGATACTATAAGTACTTGTTTTCTGTGTATAGAATTTTAGAGGTCAATACGACTTTGCATAAGTTGGATTTTCAATATTAATAAAAAATGAGTTGGGTTTTCTTCTTTTCTTTAAATTTATATCATGATTTTTTGATATTTCCCATTATCTTCTGAATATTTTTTAAGATGAATAATTTAAAATTTGTATACCAAACATTTTTAATTTTACTCTGCGTTTATAAATAGCATTGAAAGTACAACATCTTATAAACGATAAACATTGATAGAGAGTTGTCTCATTGGCACTCATACCACATCTTCCTATATCTATTAACAATCGAAACCCCTGAAATATCGTCTCATGACAAGCACGAAAAAATGGCGAAACTGAACTTCCAACAGCGGGCGATGATTTTTAATTATACAATATTCTTTCAATGGATTTTTTAAATGCAATGTAGAAATTATCAATTAAGACATTTTTTATCCCATTTGAAATTACTTAATCGAATATGAAGTCACATGCACGAAGAAGTTTGTCTGACGTGAAAATACGTAAGTCCCATATCTCACGGCTACATGGACACACACAGTGTACTGATCTTAATAATATATTAATGTTTGCAAATTCGTTGTAAGAAGAAAGACCTTTTAACTTTATATCACAATAAGCATATCTAAAGTAAGTCGTCACGTAGCTCATTTATGAAGAAATGTCAAACTGCCAATACTGCTAGTTTGTACTCTATTGTCGGAGGACAACTGATTCAAAATAAGGGAGCTACCATTTATTTTTAGGGGCGGGGCTGGGGGCTAAGGGTGGGTGGGTGGGGGGGTGGTGGGGCTAGTATGAAACTTGAAAAAAGGGCATGACAGGAGTTTAGAGAAAAAAAGGAAGGATGGGCATCTTGCCAAAAAGAAAAAGGCATGATGACTTTATGTAAAACAAGTCAGGAAAAATTAATAACTAAGAAAGGAAGGACCGAATAGAGTGTAAAATAAAAAAGCACGACTATATTTACATTGAGTTTACATTTATAGAAAAATGCAGGACATCATTTTTCATCATATTACGCGTCATTGATAATCTGATCACTACAACGTTTTTACAAAATATTCGTTCCCGTGAAAACTAAGATTTGTTAAACTTTCAAATTTCATCGAGGTCTCTTCTCAGGATATAACGGCCATCTGTATGTTGGCTTTAAGGTCGACAAGATAACAGGTCAATATATTAATGTATTCAAGTGAATTTAAGATTTGTTGCAATTCTAAAGTACAATGGGTAAATCAATCTTATCTTTGATGTGCCACATGGGCATCCCTATAAACATGATAAAGTAAGACAGTCCATGCGTGACCCATAGCATTAGATATTTTATGCAGTTCATTGGATATTTTCTATCACAATCCGAGCTGCAACTCTCCGTTTGCCATCTGATGCATCGATCTTTACTGCTGAAGCAGAAGCAATAATTTTGGCTTTGAAATTTATTGCTTCTTCAGATAAATCCAAATTTATTATATGTTCTGATTCACTTTCATGCTTACAAGCTATACAAAATACTAAAATTAAAAACCAAACAATTCTCAAAATTTTATATGTAATGAGGAATTTAAAAATTCTTCTTAAAGAAATATTATTTCTATGGGTGCCGAGTCATGTTGGAATCCTTGGAAACACAGCTGTAGACCTTGAGGCAAAGAATGCCCTGGGTGACCCTTTATCTAACTGTGATATACCATATACCGATTTTAAATCTAATATTAGAGAATATGTTTTTAATATATTGAAAAATGAATGGAGTAAAAAAGATGGTAATAAATTACATGAAATTAAACCTAATTTATGTAAACCTTTCAATAATTTTATGTGCAGAAAAGATCAGTGTGTTATTTCTAGATGTCGTATTGGTCATACTAGAATAACACACGAATATCTTTTAAAAAATGAAGTAGAACCACAATGTATACCTTGCAACTGCAAGTATACTATTAAACATGTTTTAATCAATTGTATTGACTTTGCTGATATTCGTAAGAAGCATTTCAATGTCAATAATATGTATGATTTATTTAATAATGTTTCATTTACAAATATTGTTTCATTTTTAAAAGAAGTTGGAATATATTCTAAAATATAAAAATGTTATTATATTTAAAACGATTTAAAATTTTTATCACGTTATCTTAATGTTCATTTTTATTTGTAAATAATCAATTTGCTTTAATCTAGAATTTTAGTTTATTGAAGGACCTTTTGTCTGATTTTAAGAATATGCTTTAAATTGTAAAAAATATTCGAATTAGCTCTCGCCGCGATATAGCCTTGTTGTGCTAATGCGGCGTAAAGCAACCAACAATCAATCAATCAATCTATCACAATCCAGGCAAGCTAATAACCTATATTATTTACGTGTCTGAAGACGAATTTGTATAAAACATTGTGTTTGATTTTAATTTCTGAAAATAAACTTAACTCTAGAACAGACCTTTTATGAACGTCGGGTTGGGACTTTTTTATGTGTTTGAATTCGGTTTTTACACGTATTAAACTCTGGAATATATGATCAAACTTTTCGGGATTCGGGAAAAAATGCTTCAGCAAACACTCGTGAGGAAAACAAATAAAAAGAATCATTCTGTATCATAATTTTAATTTGTTAAATATTTGCAACTCTTAAAAAGTTTCAAAACCAGCTGATTTTTTTTGTATTTCTTCATATTGAATAACTTAAAAAAAATGGGCAGTGTGGCGGATTTACCGGGGGCACAGGGGGCACGTGCGGCCCCCAGTCCAGGTCACCAATACATTTTCTAACATGATTATATTGCTACTGAATCTGCTTATCAAGAGTGGAAATTAATCACAGCTAGATTTGACTTCTTAACTAGCCGTTAATTAACCCCAGCTTCAACATGCGTGATTATGACAAGTTATCGGTGGGTCTGTAAATTTTGACACGTGTGTGTAATGTCTTATTTAAAAAGATTTGATCAAGGAGGTTATATGAGATCTCATATAACCTCCTTGATTTGATGTACATGTTGATTGGAAAAGTACGAATATTTTTATTGGTTTTTAATACAATATCATCCCCTGACCAGGAAAGAAATTACTAACCAAAATCTGTGTTTTAAATAAATATGTACAAATAAATGTTTAGTGCCAAGAATATAAGTATCGATGTATGGGATATGTCTTCATAACAAAATTCTCACATTATCATTTTTATAAACTAAATGTCGTATTTTCTTTTCACTACTATTTTCAAAGGAAACCAATAATTTGTTTAAAAAAAAACTGTCCCCCCACTCTTTCCACAAAAAAAGAATTTGGTTGTCATTGTTTCTAATTAAAACGCAATTGCATTTTATAGAAGATAATCTGGAACTAATACGTTTATCTATTAGTTCCAGCATACAGTAATATGACTGTATATTTTTCCTGTTTCAGTTACAATGTACGTATATGTATGAGGCTAGGAAAAGGTTATCATTTATGAGGATATGAATGGGGTCAGAGATATATAATATATGTCGCTGATGGGGTTTAAAGAACAGAGACTCATGGGACCAATAGATTTAAATAAATATAGATAACAGAATAAAGAGGTGATTGTTTGTTGCTTAACGTCCAGTGGCAAAAATTACATGTATGCTTAGGACAATTATTATACAGATTGATTGGCAGAAGAATAAAGTAAACTAAAATGGTAGAAAAATAAAAGATATAGAACTATAGAAACGATGATCTGACTCCCCCCCCACACCACCACAACCATTTTTTATCAAATTCGAATACTGGGAGCTATCTGAAGTCAGTTCATAGGACCTCAGTTTTAATATAGGCGTGGCAATCCATCACTTTTATCCAATCAACTGTCCTTAATAATAAAGATTGGAGTGCAATTGTGTCTGTATCAAGTTAGATAAATATAATCATATTTCTGGACGTACATATGTCGGGGTTTAGGCTATTTCATTCGATAGAAGTAGATGAAAAAAAAAAAAAAATTTCTGGTTATATCTATTTATAACTGAAAAAGTGGCATTAAATCGTAGAGGCAGTCCCTCTTTATGTGAAGAATAGAACATATTGAGCTTTCTGGATTTTCTTCTGTCCACTAGCAAATGTGGGCCTGTACCACTGAAAATATATAACTTCCGGACTAGAAAACACGGACAACCCAGTTACTAATCTTCCTGCTTCCAACTAAACGTCATGTTCTAGATTGTCGGAATCTTGTTGAGTACAGCCATCCCATAACTCACATGCATATTCCATAATTAATCTTATAAGTGTTAAGTTTATACGATTAAGATACTGATTTCTAGTCAATACATATTTCAATTCTTTTTAGAAATTTAATCTTGTGCTTGCACAATTTAAAACGTTTTATATATGTGTATAGAATTTACCATTGGAATCAAAAGAAATCCCTAAGTGTTTATGATAGGAGACAATTCTACTACTTGATTTTGAAGTTCTATTTTAATATCATCTGGGGAAGAATTACAGGAGAATAGCATAGTAATTGTCTTGTTAGGATTAAAATCAATAAGCCAATCTTTAGACCATGCTGAAATTTGTTCTAAATCGCTATTAAAGACATCCTCTATTGTGTAAGGACTATAATACTTAAATTAGAAAGGGATGTTTCATCAGCAGACAATCGAGTTAGACTTATCAAATTACCAGCTATCTCATATACATCAATAAGGAATAGTACGGAACCTAATACAGAGCCTTGTGGAACTCCTGCATTAGTATTCTAAAAAGGCGAATATGAACTTGAAACAAAAACGCTTTCTTGTATATTTGAAATATAACTAATTAAGTGATTAAATATACTGACTGACTTTAAAAACGCAACACTCATTTTGTTGATTTTTTTTCCCACATCATGTTTGATTCTCATACAACTACTGTTCATGCTTACCATACTTCTTTCTCTTAAGAAAAAATCAACATCTGACTTACCTGTGGTTATTGAACATACCGGATTTTTGAAGTCGCACGAATTTCGTAAAGCGAAATTTGAAACCCATAAAAGATTTTTTCAGTTTGTTTTGCTTCGTGAAACAGTTCTTTTAATCCTTGGCCACACTTAAATCAGTTAAAAAATGTTGCATCTCCATATTGCCAAGACTGAGGAATAAAAAACTAAATCAGCCCATAAGAATATTGCAAACAAGAAAACGTGAACGTGCTGCAACCATACAGTTTGACTTCAGAAACCCGTCTTACTGTCCTTCCGACATCGATACAGGTAGACAGGAATTGTTGCTTACCATCAATGACCAGATCATCATGTAGTGACAATGCAACGTCAATAGAATTTGATTACGCAACGTCATTTGCGAGACATGTTTACGGCCGCAACGTCAACTGCTTATCAAATTGTCGAATGCCATTGCACACAGATTCATGTCATAAACGTTTTCCATAACCTGAACTGCCAAAGATTCCACTGAAGAAAAACATTTAAAGCCCTGAAGTTTCAGCCGCATAATTGCCAAAACCCATTGTAATGGGTGGAACAACCGCATATTCAGAAGGTGTAAAACAGAACCCAAAACATGTGGAACAGAATTGGTTGATCTTTCTGACAATAATTTTGGCGTTTGTTACAGGCAGTCATTGCTTTTGACAGTGCCACATTCATTCAAAAATTTAAAAAGAATAATCTAGTGTTGCGTTTCTAAAGTCGGTCAGTATACATTTTAAATACAATTTTTTCAAATACTTTTCCCACTGTTGATAATAATGAGATTGGTCTATAATTTGAAATCAGTGATTTGAAGCACAAATAAATTTTCATACATTGTCAGATCAAAATATCTTAAAAACCCCAGTCCAGAGATACCGTATACATTCGACTGAATATACCAATTCGATAATTTTACATTCGAACTTGTTACGTAATAAGATCTGTGTCCAGGTAAAAAGAACCAGCAGGTGATATATATTCTTAAGTGTTTATCACCTTCCATTATACATCTGACGATGACATTTACCTTTAGGGCCATTTTGTTTGAAATATCATTTTAAAGGTAAACTGATAAGCATAACGTCCTCGCAATTTCTTTTTCAGATCCAGGGACACAGATGTCAGAATGAATAAGAAAACACTAAATTCTTCAATAATATATTGTAAAATGGACAGCAAGCACATTTGATAGACTAGTGTACTAATAGATTTTCTTGTGTATTTTCTATGTTCTGGAAACTTCAACATCCTATCAAAAATACTTAAATTAAAGTCTTAAGTTTAATTAAATGTTTTTTTTTTAAATATTATTTGCAAGGCTGCATGAACATTGCACCTATCGTTTTCGTATATTTCTTTTCCGCCATGCATAAGTTTAATGTTTACTGTGACTTCTATAATGCTTAAAAAATGATGCAATTGTATTATCAATCTAAAAATATTAATCGTGAACAACAACAAAAATAAATTATATATTAAACGACTAAAGCAATTTAAAATTCTAAAGGATATTGTTACAATATTGCCAAAAACTGAGACTACTATAGATATAAGAAGATGTGGTATGAGTGCCAATGAGACAACTCTCCATCCAAGTCAAAATTTAAAAAAGTAAACCATTATAGGTCAAAGTACGGTCTTCAACACGGAGCCTTGGCTCACATCGAACAGTAAGCTATATGAATTAAAACCATTCAAACGGGAAAACTAACGTTTGATGGGATGTCTAATCTATATAAAAAAAAACTGTTATAGTAGTCTCAGCCGAAAACAATACGAAATTGATAAGCAAGTATGACTAACCAATCAAAAAATTTGTTGTTTGGGATTATTCATGGTTGACTAGTTCTATATTAACCAGTGGCACGTGTCCTAATTATTAAGAAAAGGGACAGAAAAGTATTAAACAGAAATAACCGGTTTTTCAAAACCATATTTTCAAAATTAACTGCATGATTTAAACAGCTTAAAAGTGTTTCATTTATTTTATCTGTGTGCGTATACGAAAAATTGATAACAAGATAAACTTCAATGTACATGAATTACGAGTATTAGATTTCTTGTGAAATTGATCGATGAGCGGCTTTTTACAAATACCGAAAAAAAGAATACTGCGTAAACGTCAATTAATGGACAAGCAACCCAACGAGAAAAATAAAATTTAAGAGGCATCTATAACTAGTTTTGAGTTGGAGAAATCATTCAATGCCATATGATTCTATTTAGGTTTCTGCGTTTTTCGATTTACGAATAAGTCAATAAAAAAAAAATAAGTAATTGAAGCCAAAAAAGAAGACACAAAACATACATGAAATAAAGTAATAACATATTAAGTTTACAAATACGTACCTAGGTGCATTTAATAAAGCAACATTTGAACTTATTATAGAAAAAGGAGAAATTAAATGGAAACATAATGCGCGCTGTTAAATCATGCTTTGCAAGGCTGTTTAGAGATGACTCGTGCACAATCATTTTGAATGGTGAATAAGATCACATACATGCATTAAGCACTCAGAAACTAGCCCGTAAATAGCTAGGAGGAGGGAATCCAGTTATTAATTAAATATCAAAACGGTGTGCAGAAATACCGCAAAGGACTTCTTAGTGCACTAAGACCAACGTGTTTGCACTAAGGACACTAAAACGATGTTTTAAGACCACAAAGAACATGGATAAAAGAAGATATGAGTATATAACTCATAAATATAAAGTTTGGTGTGAATAGATTTTATTATTTTGAAGTTAAATGACTTTGTAATCAGCGCGTGCCACTGGTACAAATCCAGGATAGTTTAAGAAAGTTTTTAAAAAAAATTAAAACTTTTAACCACAGAGTGAAAATAATGTTAGCTGGCAGAAAAACTCCATTTATAAATAAAATACGATTTATTCTACAAAATTTACTTCTGGATACTATTTTGTGATCATAAACAAGCTTCTATCCAAGTTTGGTAGAAATCCGGGATATTTTAAGAAAGTTATTTAAATTTCAAAAACTTTAACCACAGAATGAATGTAATGTTAACTGAGAGAAAAAAGTCCATTTATACATGTAAGTAATACACAGATAACCAGGATTTTTTTTCCAAACTTTACTTCTGGATACTATCTTATGATCATAAACATTCTTCTGTTGGTAGAAATCCTGGATAGTTTAAGATGATTGATTGTTGGTTGCTTAACGTCCAGTGGCAAATATTTCATGCATATTCAGGACGAGAACAAGTTCACAATAAATACAATAGGTAGGTTCTGTAATAGATTAAGGGATTAAGGTCAGAGAAATTTAGACTGCCACGGGAAATGAGGGTATATTGGATAGGGACAGAAATTTAGCCTTGCAACAGGTCACCTACGGACCCCTCAAAAAGTTGTTGCAAGGGTTCTTAACGTGCAAAGAGCGTGGCACTCTCTTTACACGAGGCATCGGATTTAACGTCCCCATTCTGACCGGACGTGGCTGCAAATTTGTACATCCCGCACAGCCAAACGGACGCCCCACTTTAGCACGGGTTTTACTGCCGGTCGGAGGAAGACCAATGGTGACCATACTTCTATTCCCCAGTCACCCTTGGGGGGGATAGTTTAAGAAAGTAATTAAAATTTCAAAAACTTTAACCACAGAGTGAGTATGTGGATGTCGCTAGCCGACGCCGACGACGGAATGTAGGATCGATATACGTCTCGCTTTTGCGACAAAAGTCGCAGGCTCGACAAAAATGTAATAAACTGTTATACTTTGAACATGTGTATCTAATGTGCTGGTAAACAAGTATATACATTCTAAAATATTTTGTAATAAAAAAATACTAGAGAACTATAAAAAAGTGAAGTTTACAAACAACCAAGAGAAATTAAAAGGAAAAAAAAATAAAAATATAGTAGAACATACATTATTACATTGAACTAAAAAATATAACAGTCAGAAAAACAAAAGAAATACGACAGTAACAAACAGACGAAAAAAATCAGAGACAATTGAAATATCATAAACATGTTAATTTAAAATACAAGCGGATTCAAAACGGTTCAAGGTTGAACGAACATGAATTGCTTTCGATTACACAGGTGACAATCAACAGAGGGTGGCGCGTGTCGATACAACATTAAATAAATTTATAATTACCGGGTACTAAAGATATGATTATAAAATTTGAAATTGTATTCCTTCTATATGCCATGTTTTTTGTGTCAATTCTATCATTGAATTTCCATCAGGACTGGTCCTTAGTGCAATATTTTGTTCTTAGTGAACAAGTAGAAATACCGCAAAGGGCTTCCTCAGTGCACTAAGAACAACAATTTGCAAATAAGTCTATAACATTTGCGCAATTACATGCTTGTTTTATTGGCGCAAATGAATGCTGCAGTTTTTAAAATAAAGTGATACGAAAAAAGAATGAGCCTAATTAATTTGCGGCGCAAATTAATTCTTTTTCAGCGAAATTGGATATCGGCCTTCAAAACACCGTGTGTACACTAACAAAACAGTATTCATCTTTTACGCTGTCTAGCCTGAGAATAAAAGTTTTGGCAATTTGTGTAGGATTTTAATTTTAGAATGTAATGAACAAGTAAGAAGATCGTTAAAAACCTTAAGTGATTTGGAAAATGAGCTATGCACGATAAAAGGAAATAGTTTGGTGCGTCGATATGAAATTTCATAGAGGCATGTGATATTTGTAAAATTTAAAGTCTTTCAATAACAACCATTTGTGGAAGTGGTTATTTCGATCCTTCAAATATGCGTAAAATAATTACAATTTATATTATTTAGTCTCTTTCATATATACAACTGCAGTATGTTTATAAATACTGTAGATTTGTATTTGATCATCGATTGCATGCATAACGTCCAGTGACAAATATTTCATGTATTCGTACACAGAACAAATCAACAACTTTTAGAATACAATTGATTGGTTATTTAAGGTAAATGATTTGCGTTAAAATTGGTGAAACTTGGCCAGGAGCTTACCTCCAAAATAAAGAAATATAAAAAACGGTAGAGTTATTTTTTTAATTCTGTATTTTACTCATACATGGACTTAAGCACTGTTTACAGTCAAAATAACAGTTTTAACACCGACAGCAGGAATCACAAGCGACGCTGGTTCCATAGAAGTCTTCAACGAATTTTTATATATCCCTGGCAATTTTCGGTTTATATCAGACTGTGATATTGAGGGGAACAAATACCATGGATGTCTTGTCTTTTCTTTAAATACATTTAAATATAAAACGTGTATCTCATATAAAGCCTCATTTATAGAACATTATATATAATTTATTGTTTTAAGGAAATATTTGGTGGAGGAGAGAGAGAGAAAGAGAGAGACTTATTTCGCGGTATTTCAAATTGGTCTCATGTTATTCATGTCAAAATGTGGTGTAAGGAAATGTTTCCCCTTCGTTTTATATAGCAGGGTATTCTATAATGATATTAGTTGCAGATTTTTTTTCTATCGGTAAGATATGGTTTACAGTTCGAAATCTACGTTAAGTTATAGTACATTTAAAGTAAGTTTATTGCATTGCTAAACGTTTCTCAATCAAGATAAAACGTTTACAACCAATACTATTTTTACGACTAAATATGTTTTATGTAAATAAATAGTTCACGTTTCAATTAACTAAGGTTATTGTATAGGTTAGTTTTTTTTTAACATTTTATAAGATCGAATTTGAAATGATTCAAAATCACAAAAAGACATCAAGAACTACGCAGTTAGTATGAAACAAAATATATAATAAATAAGATAACTTATTTGCTTTAATTAACAAGTGAAATGTTTCCAATCCAATCTTTCCAATCTAATATAGTCCAAAGGGTGACAAAAGGATATAAATATGGTCACTAAAGGTTTTCTCACGGCTGGCAGTAAAAAAAAAACTTACCAAAGTGGGGGCATCCGTTTGGTTGTTTGGGATATACTAGTACGCAACCAACTTTCAATCAATCCAAACTAATAATTGTTTTTTTTTATCCCGCATCTTTTTATATTAATTTATTTTAACTCAAAATAATAATTGAAATAACTTTCTGAAATAAAACCCTAACATATATCAGACGCTTAACAAAACGATATACCATACGATAGATGAAACGCTTAACGATATCATATACTATACGATAAACGAAACGCTAAACGCTAAACCATACCATGTACCATACGACAAATAAAACGCTTAACGATACCATGAACCATACGATATACAAAACCCTAAACGATGACATTTACCATACGATGAACGAACGATGAACGAACGCTGACCGAACGTTGTACGGACGCTATACGAATGATGTACGAACGATGACCGAACTCTATACGAACGATTCCCGAACGCTGTACGTACGATTCCCGAATGAAAAAAGTGTTAACTTTTACGTTACAGGGACTGTATCTATGACCATCCAAATCATATCCATAGGTGGAAGTTGGTTGTTCCAAAGTATAAGATGATAGTATAGCTTCTTCT